CACACACACACACACGCACAGAGATATATATATATATATATGTTGAAATATATAAATAAATATACACATACCACTGATTTATGAAGATTTTATGAGTTGAAATCTAACTATATCTCTAGTTATCTTCGACTCCAAATAGGTTGTCGTTCTTAATGGCGCATAAGCATGTTATTTTCTTTAAAGCTTACTCTATTAACTATGTGTATTATAATTTTTGGTATTTCAATATGAATGACCAAGGTCAAAGAGTTTGAGGAGTTCAAGCATTTTGATAACCATTTGACACTCAGGGAACTCGAACCTGTTTAACAAAACTGACAACGACGCCATATATGTCTGATTGATTAAAAGAATAGAACGACCAATAATGACGTTGTAGATGTTTGATTGGTTATAATGGCCAATTAGGGAACTTCCCTCTTCACAAGCTTGAGTCCTGCAACTTGGATCAAATAATAATCCGGAGAAGATTCCCAGGCTAGTTGCGACAAGCTTCACGAATGATACGATAAAATCATCCCAAAAGAGAGCCTAGGTGGCCACTTCCCATAGAGAGGAGATCCAACCCAAGGCGGAGACTCGATCGAGCGACAATGACCAACGGGTTAGAACTCGGCTCTCGACGCCCTAGACATATACCAGTCACGACATAAACCACCCGGACAAATAAAAGTGGTTGGCCGAGATGCCAAGATCGTTCGGTCGATCCCTCTATTTACACATTCAAACTGCGCTCATTCCTAGAGATGATCCAGTACCTGGCAGCGTCAAACTCCATAAGGCGTAATGGACAAATCATCCCAGATTTATTCAACGACTAATTGATTAACAATGAATGATGCAAAATATGCCAAAAACGAGTGATTCATGGAATATCATTAGTGATTCATGTGATGTTTTGTCTGATTTATAAATTTCTTTGTTCTTATTGCAATTGTCGCTATTGAGGAGTAAAAAATTTGGGGAACTCAATATGTACACTAACAAATGGTCTGCACAGATCTCGAGACAATCTGACAGTCTAAGATATGAAGACTAATGTACACTCAAGTGGTATGCACAGATTTCGAGATAACCTGGTGGTCCAAGAAATGAAGACTAAAATACCCTGTACTATCCTTTGTAAAATGAGGGTAAAAATATACTATTCTATTTTTCATCTTTAATGTCTTCACTTAACCCCTCATGTAGGGAGAACTCTTCCCACCGACTCTCTTATAATCACTATTTTTAATGGAATAAAATGAGTCTAAGAGCCCGCGAACATCCATTCTTCTTTAGGGAATAAATAATTTTTTTATTTTCACTAGAATAAATAAAAATAAAATAACAATAATAATAATGCATAGAAAGATTTAGATACATATCACTCAGTTCTGATGTATTTACACATTCACAAAAAAACTCCAACTTTTACACCTATAAATTTGTTTTTTTTGTTAAAATGGAAGTGTTGTTGCTGTGATATGAAATATTTAAGTGGTATAGGCTTAATTAGGTAAAAAATATGTAAATATTCAAGATTGGGTGGTAATGCATGCAAGTACCTGCCCATAATAAAGAAGTAATGTGAGGTGGTTTTGTAAAAACCGCATAAAATCGTTACTTTGTCGTTTACCAGGACGTGGTCCGCTTCTGGTTCTAGGTTTTCCGAACGATGAGACCCGACGAGGGCAAGATTTTTGTTTTCCCTCTCAGAAGATAAGCGGGACCAAGCAAGGGCGATAGCAAGAGGTAGGAAAATGGAGGAAAGCTTTGAAGTTCGCGTCAAGCGTTTGTTCGGATCCCAGCTCTTCGAAGCTGTTCCCCAGAGCTCTTTTCCGGCGTCTTCGTGGTCGGTGGCGGACGGCGAGGTTGAGCGGAAGGAGTGGAACCGGGAGCGCGGCGCTGGCCCCGACAGATCGGATGATCCGTGTTCCTCTGCCTTCGCTGAAGGTGGATGTTATGCGAAAAAGCGTAGCGCCCGGAGGGGTTTCGAACTGCGTATGGACGCGCTCGATGATGATGCTGAGGAGGAGGGCAGAGGGGAGGTGGAAGAGGAGGAGGAGAATGACCAAGGGGACGATCGTGATGCTGAGGTGTTGGAGATGAGATCTTTCGTCGGGCTCGATCCAACCCTAGACAAGGAGGTTCTTCTTTATTCCTTCCTGCGGTTGCCTTGTTTTAAGCGTTCCACTTTCACCTTTCTTAAGTTGAGACGGAAGAATTGAAATTGAAAATAGTATGCTGGCCGAACAACGGCTTGTTGTTGTATTTTTTTCGATTTTTTTTTTCACATTTATTTTACTTTATTATTTTATATACATAGGACTAGTTTTAAGATGTCTTGTTCGTGGATGGAACAGAATTTGCTCATTTTTTCCATGGACCAGAGCTGTTTTCTGGTGGTAGATTGTTGTGTATAATTGACATCTTTCCTGCTCGTAGTTTACTGTTTTCAGCTTATTTACTAGTTCAGTTGCCACAATATTTAGCCTACTTGTTCTGAAATTGGGAAATTAAGCATCAATGTTTCCGGGAATTTAACTTTGAATGTGGGGGAGGCTGGAGGGTTGGTGTGATTGACTGTGGGAAGAAGGGCTAGGGTGCAATAGTAGGAAGTAGCAATGGATTTTACATTTCTTCTATCATTAGGTTGGAATTCCGAGATGGCAAAGCTTCTACAAGATGTTTTAAATTTGCATTTGTATCAGCTATGTGATATATTCTGTTATCATGTCATTGGATATTTATGTTATTTTGAGTTATTTTAAGTTCTTTGTGTAGGCTTAATCAATCATGCTATATTCTAGGCTATTATTAGTGCTTTGTGTCTAACCTTATTATTTTTTTTAGATTTTGATAGACCATAATGATATTGAAGTAAATCTCCTCATTGTGCTAACCATTTAAGACCAACCTTAACCTATATTTTTGAGGGTTTATTGGCTTAGGTGGTTACATTGGTGAATATTTATCAAATTAGTGCTCCCATTTTTAAGATTGATAGTGTTCTTCCATTATGAGGATACACTTATCTTGTAATTTACTATTAAGTGGAGACTCAATTAGGTGAGGATGCACAATTACAAAATAAACAAAAAATTATCCTTTTATAGCCTTTTGTGGGATCTACGTGATTTCAAATTGATGCAACAACGCTAGTCTTTTAGCCTGATGACCATTAGGGTAGGCTTAATCATTAAACATTTGAGAGGGTCTACTTTATATATTCTAGTTATTATGTTGGCTAACATATGATAATACAAATTTTGTGCGTCAAAATTCTGTTCTATTTTGATGGATATTACTTTGATTCGATTGGTATCAATTGTCAACTAATATAATAAAGATTGATTTTTTTTTTTTCATTTTCATTATTTTGAACAAGTAACTCAAAGGTAGAGATGTAGTAAGTATTGTTTTATGCTATCAAAATCTTCTTTGCAAGCATTGTCATACAAAGAGGGTGTCCATCATTATGATTTGTTTATAGCTTGAAGACTATTTGTGAATAAGTACATATGTTGCTTTGGTGTATTATCAACCATGAGTTCTCCCATAGGCTATGGGAAGTCATGTTTTAGGTAGGCTTAATGAAGATCCTAAATGTCAATTGAAACACACAATTTTTATTTTTTTTAATCAAGACAAATTTCTAATCTTACCAACATTTTTTTCTCATGGATAATGGTACTGAGTTTTTTGGTCTCAATGATTTATTGTTCTTTAACTTCAAGTCACATTCACCTTATTTTTTATTTGGTTGGTGGTACAATTGGATTGATAGAAAGCTTGTAAACTGCCACATCTAGAGGCACATTTATAATTATAGTATAGTTTTAAGCAAAGCAATCCTTATACTAGGAGTGATGCTTTCAATTTTATTTTACGAGAAAGTGAGAGAAAAGCAATAACAAAAGTAGATATGGGATAATCTTCTGTGCCTAATTGATTTCTTGGAGTTCATTTAACGTAGCTTGGCCGCCATATTTAAGGACTTGAGGTTCATATTTTAATTCAATAATCAAATCTCCATAAATATCCATAGATACAAACTAACCAATTTCATCTAATGTAATAACCAACACATACCTTCTGGCAGACATAGAGTTTTTGACATATCTAGGATCCCATACGGTGAATTTCTTGTGCTCTGAAAGTTTTTTGATGTGTTCCCATTTTTAGAAATTTTTTCTTTAAGTGGCAAGCTTGTTCATCTGTTTGCTTATGGGGACTTATTTTTTGATGAGACTCTATAGGGATAGTGATAAGTATTGAGGGACCATTATTGTTATCATGTCTTTTTAAGTTATCACTTTTCAATTTAGTTGTTGAATAACCTGTTTGTTTCTCTTTTATTTTCTCGATTAGCATTCCGCGCTCATTATATTCTCTTCTTAGAGGGACATGATAGGTTAAAGTTTTGATATAAGTATACAACAACAAAGCCATAATCCCACTACGTGGGGTCAGCTACATGAATTCTTTTTCTCCATTGCATCCTATTTAGTGTCATATTTTCATTTAGTTCTAATAAATTAAGATAATTTTTTATACAAAAGCCCAAGTCTTCCTAGGTCTACCTCTGTCTTTTTTAACATAAGTCGAATCTAAAACATCTACTTTCCTAATTGAATCATTAGATGGTCGACATTTAATGTCACCAAACCATCTAAGACGACTTTCTCTAATTTTGTCCGTCACTGGAGCTACACCAACTTAGGTGGGTGAGTTACTTTGATAAACTTTTTAATGAAGTTTCTAAATATACGATCGACCTTAGTGATCTTAATATCGTGAATAATAATAAAACGTTTCATTTTTACCGTCACATTAGTAAAAAAGAAGTTGAGGAGGCTTTAAAGAAAATCAAGGGTGGAAAGTCTGTAGGACCTGATGATATCCCAATTGAATTGTGAAAATATTTGGGAGATTTGGGAGTTTCTTGGCTTACTAAACTCTTTAATATTATTTTAAAAACTGAAAAGATGCCTCAGGAGTGGAGGAATAGTATTTTGGTCCCCATTTTTAAGAATAAAGGTGATGCACAAGAGTGTGAAAATTATAGAGGAATTAAGTTGATGTGTCATACTTTAAAATTATGGGAGAGGGTAATTGAACATAGGTTAAGATGCATGACGAAAATTTCTCATAATCAATTTGGATTTATGCCTGGCAGGTCTACTATGGAAGCTATACATTTATTGAGAGGTTTGATGGAGAAGTTCAGTGATAATAAGGAGAATCTACATTTGATTTTTATTGATTTAGAAAAAGCTTACGATAAGGTTCCAAGAGATA